CTGGAACAGTGATTCAAGGCCCATAATAAGGCCATTCAACATGTTATTTGCACAAATAAAATAGGAATTTCTGCCCCTCTTCTATTTTCTAAAAAACATATTTAAACTTGTAACAGTTTTTTTTTTACCATTTACACTACTGCATTAAATTAGAACAAATTTACCATTTATTTTAACACATAATCTTTTTATAAGCTATTAAAAAGAAAAAGAAACACTCTACTTGAATTACGACACTTTTTTAAAAAAATTCATTAAACATGAAGCACATCTAGATTTTTAGAGATGTTAAATTACAAATAAAAGTGTTTCTCATAAATAGTAAAACACAGAATCTGAATTGTAACATCTTAAGAGCCTTTGGTTATTCTCACCATTCCTATTCAATAATGTACTTAAACGTACCAGTTAGTGCAATTTAAGACCTCTAAAAGAAATAAAAGTTATGCAGACTGGGAAAAAAGTAAAAATGTCTTTATCATAGATGACATAATTATCTATGTAGAAATCACAAAGAATTAATGCCAACAGCAACCAAACAAAACTCCTGGAATAAGAAGTAATTACCAGGTTGCAGGATACATAGTATTAAAAAGTCAATTGCCTTTTTGTATATCATCAATAAATTATTAGAATTTGAAATTTAAAACACAATACTAATTACATTAACACCAAAAGAGAAATACTTGCATAAATCTAACAAAATGTATGCAAGATCTGTATGAGAAAAGTATAAATCAGATAAAATAAACATATCTTTAAAAATTGGATATTCTATGCACATGAAAAGGAAGACTCAATATTGTCAGTAAATTAGTTATCCTCAAATTGATCTACAAACTCAATTCAATCTCAATAAAAATCCCAAGAAAATTATTTTTTAGATATAGACAAGCTGATTCTAAAGTTTACATGAAAAGTCAAAAGATCCAGTATAACCAGCATTAGCTGAAGGAGACGAAAGTTGGAGGCTTGACACTACCTGACTTCAAAACATAGCACATAACAATAATAATCAGGACAGTATAGTGTTAGTGAAAAAATAAACAAATAGATAAGCTGAATAAAATAGAGATCCAAAAAACAGACTTACATAAATATAGTTAGCTGATCTTTAACAAATGAGCAAAAGAAATTTAGTGGAGGAAGGACAGTCTCTTTAACAAATTATGCAGGAATATCTATATAGATATCTATATGCAAAAAAAAATATAGACATAGACTTTAAAACTATTTTTTTCTATTTCTTTTTTTTAATTGCATTTTAGGTTTTGGGGTACATGTGAAGAACATGCAAGATTGTTGCATAGGTACACGCATGGCAGTGTGATTTGCTGCCTTCCTGCCCTTCACCTATATCTGGCATTTCTCCCCATGCTATCTCTCCCCACCTCCCCACCCCCTGTCCCTCCCACATTTCCCCCCAACAGACCCCAGTGTGTAGTGCTCCCCTGCCTGTGTCCTTGTGTTCTCATTGTTCAACACCCGTCTATGAGTGAGAACATGTGGTGTTTGATTTTCTGCTCTTGTGTCAGTTTGCTGAGAATGATGGTTTCCAGGTTCATCCATGTCCCTACAAAGGACACAAACTCATCATTTTTGATGGCTGCATAATATTCCATGATATATATGTACCACATTTTCCCTGTCCAGTCTATCATCAATGGGCACTTGGGTTGGTTCCAGGTCTTTGCTATTGTAAACAGTGCTGCAATGAACATTTGTGTGCATGTGTCCTTATAGTAGAACGATTTATAATCCTTTGGATATATACCCAGTAATGGGATAGCTGGGTCAAATGGAATTTCTATTTCTAGGTCCTTGAGGGATCGCCACACTGTCTTCCACAATGGTTGAACTAATTTACACTCCCACCAACAGTGTAAAAGTGTTCCTATTTCTCCACCTCCTCTCCAGCATCTGTTGTCTCTAGATTTTTTAATGATCGCCATTCTAACTGGCGTGAGATGGTATCTCAATGTAGTTTTGATTTGCATTTCCCTAATGACCAGCGATGATGAGCATTTTTTCATATGTTTGTTGGCCTCATGTATGTCTTCTTTTGTAAAGTGTCTGTTGATATCCTTCACCCACTTTTGAATGGGATTGTTTGTTTTTTTCTTGTAGGTCTGTTTTAGTTCTTTGTAAATTCTGGATATCAGCCCTTTGTCAGATGGGTAGGTTGCAAATTTTTTTCGCATTCTGTTCGTTGCCGATTCACTCTAATGACTATTTCTTTTGCCGTGTAGAAGCTGTGGAGTTTGATTAGGTCCCATTTGTCTATTTTGGCTTTTGTTGCCAATGCTTTTGGTGTTTTGGTCATGAAGTCCTTGCCTACGCCTATGTCCTGAATGGTTTTGCCTAGATTTTCTTCTAGGGTTTTTATAGTGTTAGGTCATATGTTTAAGTCTTTAATCCATCTGGAGTTAATTTTAGTGTAAGGCATCAGGAAGGGGTCCAGTTTCTGCTTTCTTTTATAAAAATTTACTCAAAATGGATCATACCCCTAAATGTAAAATGTGAAATCATAAAAATCCTAGAATATTATATAGGAAAAAATCTAGATGACTTTGCATTTAGTGATGACTTTTTGGATAAACACCAAAAGCATTAAGTATGAAGGGAAAAAATTAATAAATTGACTTGACGGAAATGAAAAAACTTCACTACGCAATAGAAACTGCTAATATAATGAAAAAACAAGACACAGACTGGGGAAAATATTTGCTAAAGATACATCTGACAGCTGGGCACGGTGGCTCACGCCTGTAATCCCAGTACTTTGGGAGGCCAAGGCAGGCGGATCACGAGGTCACGAGATCAAGACCATCCTGGACAAGATGGTGATACCCCATCTTTACTAAAAATACAAAAATTAGCTGGGCATGGTGGCGTGCGTCTATAGTCCTAGCTACTCAGGAGGCTGAGGCAGGAGAATTGCTTGAACCCGGGAGGTGGAGATTGCAGTAAGCAGCGATCAGGCCACTGCACTCCAGCCTGGAGCCTGGGGAGCCTGGGAAAAAAAGTAAAAACATTTAAAAAAAAAAAAAAAAAAAAAAAAAAAAAAAAGACCCATCTGATAAAGGATTGTTACCAGATAATATAGAAAGTAGTCTTAAACTCATCAATAAGGAGAAAAATAAAATTAGAAATGGGCAAAGAGGCTGGCACGGTGGCTCATGCCTATAACCCCAGCAATTTGGAAGGCTGACAAGAAGTACCACTAGCCATGTATTATAATGTCTAAAATTTAGAACACTGGAAACATCAACTGCTGGTGACGATGTGGATAACAGAAACTCTCTAGTAAAATTACTGTGGATACAAAATGGTAGACCCATTTTGGAAAATAGTTTGGCAGTTGCTTATAAAACTAAATACACTCTTATTGTATAATTCAGTGATCAACTCCTTGTTATTTACTGAAATGACCTGAGAGCTTATATCCACACAAATGCTGTACTGGGGTCTTAAAAGGAGCTTTATTTATAATTGTCAAAATTTGGAAGCCACAAAGATATAATTCTGTGAATGAGTACATAAATAAAATGTGGTACATATACACAATGTGATTTTATTTAGCAACCAAAAATTAACCTATGAACCCATCATAAGACATAGATGAACCTTAACAGTATATTGCTAAGTAGAAAAACACAAAACTACGGTGACTATGAAATAATCAGTAGTTATTACTAGGGAATGAGGTACAGGGAAGGTGGGGATAAATAGGCAGATAACAAAGGATTTTTAGAGCATTAGGATTTAGGATTTCTATTCTATATAATACTAACTATGGTGGTAGATACATGCATTACACATCTGCTCAAACCCATAGAATATACAATCAAGGACAAACTTAATGTAGAGTATGGATTTTGGTTGATAATTATGTGTCAGTGCTGGTTCATTGGCAGTAACAAATTTATACTCTAGTGCAGGATGTTGATAGTGGAGAAAAGTTGTGTTTGTGTGTGGCATGATGGGGGGAATGGGGTGAAAAGGAAGTATGTAGGAACTCCGTACATTCTGCTCAATTTTTTATGAACCTACACGTTCTCTTAAAAAATCAAAGTTTATTAAATTACACAGAAAACAGTGAATGTAATGCAGTAATTTAAAGGCTGATTTTCATTGAATTTAGTGAGACTAAGGATGCTTTACAATGAGCTTATAGGGAGTTAAAACTATACCCTCCCAAAATATGCCACTCTGCCATATTTGCTATTTTGAGCTAAACATACTTGGGAAACAGAACTTATAAGATGATCACTCTGAACTTCATGTTGTTTCATAAAAGCCAAAGATGAAAAGTCTATGTGAAAAATGCCCTCTTTATGCTAGGAGGAAAATAACATTGTTATCATCAAGAATGAGAAGTTGAGATGAGAGAATTCTGTGCAGAATTTATCAAAGAACTTTTACCATCTATCTTCTCCATATAATTTATTTACTTTTTCACAACTCACTATCTTTTATCAATGTTTTCAACTACATCTTTGGAATGGTAGGCAGGTAGTAGTTAAATTTTACCTCCACTATACTCACCATCTTTAATACCACTGGCACAGCAATGACTTTGTCATTTGCAGCAAATGCAAATTTTTATTATCTCAATTTCAATCAATGCACATTTTGAACTATATTCTACATGTCTAGTACTAGGACCTTGATATCAATAATATTTTGGCCTTGGTTTAACCTCGATTGATTAATCTTACAACTTTTCATGATATCTCACATTTCTCCTTCCCTTTTTCTGTTTCCCTCTAGTTTAAATTCTAAGTTCAATTATTTCAATTACTTCACTGCATACATTATAAATTTCTTGACCTTCTCTTTCTGTTTCATTTGGCCAAACTTTCACATAGCTTTGACCTCTCTCTAAGTCCCAACCTCATATGCTTTGCCTCCTTTTAGTCATTTCCACTCGTCCATCTAATAGGAATCCCAACCTTTCCATTTCCAAAACTGAAATGGACTTACCTCTCTTCCTTTACTCCCCAAAATATGGCTCTTTCTCAGTCTTCCTCATATCAGATAATGGTTAATTCCTTTAGTTACTCAGGCCAAAAACCTTGAGTTATTCATGTTTATTAGTACATCTGTGCTACTATAACACAATACCAGAGACAGGATAACTTATTAATAATCAAAATTTATCTCTTATATTTTTGTATGCTGGGAAGACCAAAATCGACATGCCAGCAGTTTCTGTTCAATGCCTGGTGAAAGCCTATTTCTCATAGATTTGTGCTGCATAGGTGTCCACATGGTGAAGGGATGGAAGGGCAAAACTGGGGGCATACGCTAGTTCCTCTAGACCTTTTATAAGGCACCAACCAATTCATGAGGATGAAGTCCTCATGACTTAATCACTTCCCAAAAGGTCCAAATCTTAATAAAACCACAGCGGGAATTAAGTTTCAATCTGAATTACGGAGGGGATAAAAACATTCAAATGATAGCAACATAATCGATTTATTTGACCTACAGTACAGACCTCAAGGATAAGTTATATCTGCAAATGTATTCAAAGTTGCATCATTTCACACTACTTCCAACTTCTATGATAGTCAAATGTACAAAAACTCTCAATTAGAATACTTCAGTAGCTCCCCAACAAGTCTCAATGCTTCAGTGTTCGCTTTGCTAGCTTATTCTCAACCCAGGAGCCAGAGCTATCCATTAAAAACATAATTCAGCTCAGATGGCACCATGCTTCCAAATGCCCCAGTGGCTTTCTCTAATAAAGACACACGGTAAAAGTCAACATGAAGGTCTTTGGGGCTCTAAAAAATATGATCATCATAATTCTCAAATTTAATCTCCTAGTAATCATTTCATCCCTTACTTTACTTTGAATTTCAGTACTTTTGCTTTTGCTAAAAATATTCAAGCATTTTCCAGCTTCAAGGGTAAATGTTTTTAACTAAGTATATGTTAAATGTTATTTTATGCAAATCAAAACTACATTGAGATACCATCTCACGCCAGTTTGAATGGCGATCATTAAAAAATCTAGAGACAACAGATGCTGGAGAGGAGGTGGAGAAATAGGAACACTTTTACACTGTTGGTGGGAGTGTAAATTAGTTCAACCATTGTGGAAGACAGTGTGGCGATCCCTCAAGGACCTAGAAATAGAAATTCCATTTGACCCAGCAATCCCATTACTGGGTATATATCCAAAGGATTATAAATCGTTCTACTATAAGGACACATGCACACGAATGTTCATTGCAGCACTGTTTACAATAGCAAAGACCTGGAACCAAACCAAATGGCCATCGATGATAGACTGGACAGGGAAAATGTGGCACATATACACCATGGAATATTATGCAGCCATCAAAAACGATGAGTTTGTGTCCTTTGTAGGGACATGGATGAACCTGGAAACCATAATACTCAGCAAACTGACAGAAGAGCAGGAGATCAAACACCACATGTTCTCACTCATAGGCAGGTGTTGGACAATGAGAACACATGGACACAGGGAGGGGAGCACTACACACTGGGGTCTGTTGGGGGAAATAGGGGAGGGATGGTGGGGGGTGGGGAGTTAGGGAGAGATAGCAAGGGGAGAGATGCCAGATGTAGGTGTTGGGGAGGAAGGCAGCAAATCACACTGCCAAGTGTGTACCTATACAACAATCTTCCATGTTCTTCACATATACCCCAAAACCTAAAATGCAATAAAATAAATAAATGGAAAAAAATGTTATTTTAATAAGTATTGGCTAAATGCTATTAACTAAGTATACACAATGTTTTAAAAAATTTAGCCTGTACTTATTAAAAGAACATTTAACATATACTTAGTTAAAAATATTTATATGTTTTAAAACATTGTATATACTTAGTTAATAACATCAAATGAATCATGAAGTCACCAGAATACATTAGACCAGCATGGTAACCAAAAATAGACACCTTGATACAGACTCACAAAACAAAGGTGATAAAAAGGGGCCATGTTCCAGGATGAAAACTAAAATTGGACACCCCTTCTAGACAATTCAAGTGGAACTGTATACACTGCATCAGAAACTGTATTTTATATACCATTAGTGACACTATTAGTAAAATGTAGACAGTATATTCAGAATAAACATTTAATTACTGCCTATTAGTTTACTGGTTTGCATTAAGCAGAAACTCCTGAAAAATCACCTTCAGAAATATTTAGTTGAAGTAGTTTGACAAATTATTTTCTGAATTAATATTAGTCACCAGATATTCTTATCTCTTAAAACTTGGTGCTGTAATGATGAACAATCTAGTCAGGATAAGTTCATTATTTGCAGACTTGCCTTTTCTTTGGATTATTTCTTCCAATTTTTTCAAACTTAGATAAAATGATTATTAGTTGATTTAAATAATAAAATATTAGACTAAAAATTTTGTGTTTAAGGATGACAAGAGCTTTGTGGATTAGTAAAACTCCATTCTATTTTTTTTCCAATTGTAAATTTTTTCTTACATTGAAAAATCTGCTTCTTGGCAGATTTCATTTATTCGTTCTACCGTTATATTTCAGATTAAAGTAAATCTTAGCTCTTATTTTCAAGACAGAATTCAAAAGTATATTGCCTTCTGCAATAATTGTACGTTTCCTGAGGCCACCCCAGAAGCTGAGCAGATGCCAGCACCATGCTTCTTATACAGTCTGCAAAACTGTGAGACAATTAAACCTCTCTTCTCTATAAATTACTCCATCTCAGGCATTTATTTAAAGCAGTGTGAGAACCAGTTAATATACGGGGGCTCTCAACACTCTTTCTTGTTAAATCTTTCATGAACTAGGACTGCAGGTACTTTGTAATTCAACCTGGTTCCCTCCTTATTAGGGAATTCACAAGTATTTGGAATGGGTGACAATGAGTGGATCCATGGATTCATTGTACTAAGAAGTAAACTAGGTATAGACTTAAAATCTTTGGGATAAAAAGGGCTAGGAAATGCAAGAGAAACACAATCTTGGTCTAGTCTACCTTAATTGGGAGAACTAAGAAAAGTGACTTTATCTCTGGACCTATATATTTAATGTTTTAAAAGAAAAAGTTAAAAGAGATTTCTTCAATGATTAACTGAATTCAGCCCCTTCAATGACAACAGCTCATAATTACTGACCATTTCCTGTGTGCTGTATGCCATGATAAGTGTCTATTTTTCATTTTCTCATTTAGACCTCATGAAGGAAGAACACTGTAAGTCACGTAATTTGCCCAAATTCAACCAGTTAGTATGTGTTAAAGCTTGGATCTGAAACTAAATGTGCTTAACTCCAAAGCAACTAATATGCTTATGGCACTAAACCAGGCTGTGGAATTGGAGTTTGAAATTCGGCAATAGGCCAAAAACCATCTCTGATAACTCAAAATCCACAATTTAATGAAGTTCTTGTTGCCAATAAAGTTTGTCATCTAGACAAGTTATCTCTCACAGTCAAGATGTGTTATTTAAAAATCAGAAGAAAAATAGAAGTAATTTTAAAAATTGCAAGGTAAACAGCAAAATAAACTATTGATAAGCAACTTATAGAATGGGAGAAAATATCTGCAAACTTTGCATCTGATGAAGGTCTAATACCCAGAATCTATAACAAACTCAAATCAACAAGCGACAAATTAACAACCCCATAAAAAAAAAAAAAAAAAAAAAAAAAAAAAAAAACGGGTAAAAAACATAAACACACACTTCTCAGAAGAAAACATGCACATGGCCAACAAGCATATGAAAAATTCTCAACATCACTGATTATTAGAGACATTCAAATAAAAACCATGATGAGATATCATCTCACACCAATCAGAATGGCAGGTAGCATTCTCTTTTATCAAAAAGTCAAAAAATAAGAGTTTCTGACAAAGTTGCATGGAAAAAAGAATGCTTATCCTCTGCTTGTGGGAATGTAGTTCAGCCACTGTGGAAAGCAGTTTGGAAATTACCCAAAGAACTTAAAATAGAAAACCATTTGACCAGCTCTTCTATTGCTTGGTATGTACAAAAAGGAATATAAATCATTCTACCATAAAGACACATGCACATGCATGTTCACAGAAGCACTATTCACAATAGCAAAGGCATGGAGTCAACCAAGATGCCCATCAACAGTGGACCAGATAAAGAAAATGTGGTACACATATGCCATGGGTACTATGAAATCATAAAAAAGAATAAATTGTGTCTTTTGCAGCAACATGAATGGAGCCCAAGGCCATTATTCTAAGAAAGTTAATGCAGGAACAGAAAACCAAATACCACATGTTCTCACTTGCAAGTGGGAGCTAAACGTTGATTACACATGGACAAAAGGTGGGGATTGAAAAACTGCCTGTTCGATATTATGCTGATTACCTGGATGACAAAATTATCTGTACACTAAATCCCTGCAACACAAAATTTACCTATGTAACAAATTTGTGCATGTATCCCTTGAATCTAAAATAAAAGTTGGAAAGAAAAAACTGCAAGTTAAAAGGAAAAAAAAGGAGCATTAGGAACTCTTTTTAAAAATCAAAATCTTTTTGAAACTTTACAGGAACTTTGTAATAATGAGCTAATCCATTCAACATTTTCACTCCTATAACACATACCAGTTACTTCCTCAAAAATTTTTCAAAATGTTTATGCAGAACAATGATCCAGACAAAAATTGATTATTTGAGGAAACATGCTATCTCTAAGGTCCCTATGATAGGGTATACGGTGCACACATCTAATGCCATTCAAGCCATTCAACTACTAATTGAGCTCACTTAGTACTGTGAGCTCACAATTACCTTAGGGCCACAAAAGTTAAATAGTCTTAAACAAATCCCAATATACAATTGCTTAAATGTCTCCTACCAACTCTATTTAAAACTCAAAATTATTCATACTCTTTACCCTTTTCTTAGAGTTGTAGTTCTCTAGACTTCTGTACCATAGCCAATACCTCTTCTACACAAACATCAGTTATGAACGCAGAAGAAAAAATGTGAATGTAAGAACATTTCTAAAATA